CCAAAAGGAAAAGGAAAAGGAGGGGCTGGTCATACCCCTGACCCCGCCTGCTGCAGGAGGAAGGACATGAAACCCACCTGCTGTTTTCACTTTATGAAAAAAAAAAAAAAAAAAAAAAAAAAAAAAAAAAAAAGAAAAAAAAAAAAAAAGGGGGAAGAAAAGAAAAAAAAAAAGCAGAAAAAAAAGCCAAGTGGCTGCCACCACCCTGATCCCTTTGGAGCTCAGATTCCTCCCAAGCTCTGAGCCCTTCCTGGGCCCTGTTCCCTTCTGAGCCCCTCCGAGCCCCCGTGCAGCATGCAGGTGTAATAGAATTCTGCTTTGTTTTAATACCTGTTTTTTTGGTTTTTTTTTTCCTCATCTGGTTTATTTTAACACATCACGATGTGTAGGAATCTCTAAATATACCGCAAATATAAACAAAAAACAAACAAACAAAAAATTAAAACAAAAAAATAAAAGAGAGAGGAAAATATATAATATATAACAGTAGTCTAAAACATAAAGTGCACGGCAATGGCTTTGCACGACTCTACACGGCCAGGGGGCCCCTTGACCCCTCATCCCACCCTTCCCATCGCAAAATTAAAAACAGAATCAGTGTCTTGATTGGCAAAGAGTGATCGGGGGGGAAGGGGGCAGCGTCCCGGCAGCCGCAGAGTTCAACTCCCAGGTGTCCGATGGGATGGGCAGGGAGGAGGGTGTGGCCACTGCAGCTTCGTGTCCTGGCGCTGGCCGGAGCAGGGGTGCGGGCAGGGAAGGAACGGGGGGGCTCCTTGGTTGGTTTCTTCTGGTTTCCTTTTGGATTGCAAGCACAGTCCAGTCCCAGGAGAGAGGCAGAGCTGGGGCAAGGAGGGGGACACAGGCTGGCCCGGGCCCAGGGATGCTGTGGGGAGAACAGAGAGAAGGGGGTTAGGGATGGAAGGGGATGCCCAATTTGGGGTGCTGGCTGTGTTCCTGCCCTTCACCCTGTCCTGGGGCTCCCTCTGGCACCCTGGGATGGGAGCGAGTGGTTTGAGATCCCTGTGCTGTCCCTGGAAGGTTTTAGGGAGTCCCTCAGCCAGGTGAGCCCAGCAAAGCAAAACCCCTGACTAGAAATCAGTGCCAAGGAATGTAATTTATGCCAAGGAGAGGAGCATTCCTTTCCTTCAAAAGGTTTCTAGGCTAAGGAGGGGAGTGACCCAGCCAGGCTTGGGGCAGGAGCAGCAGCAGGTCCAGGGGAGCCCCAGCCCAGGCTCAGGCTGCACTGACTCCCCGCAGGTGACTCACTGCCCCCATGAATTAAAGATGGAGCTGCCACGGGCCTCTGACAGCTGCAGGGGGAGGATCCGGCTTTTATTTCGGGCTTTTTTCACACCACAAAGCTGGTCGTGATCCAGGAGATAACAGAGCTCAGCCCCAGCAGCGCCGTGACGAGCATGAGGCCGGGGGCGGATGAGGCTGAACATGACTCACTGCTGGCTCCGTTATGAATGAGGGGTGGGAAGGAGGGGACAGGGCTGGGAGCTGGGGAGGAAGGAGCTGCAAGGAGTGGGGGAAGCAAGGAGAGGGCTCAGCTTCCCATGGAAGTGGCTTGGGCATGGGTGACAGGGCCAGGGGCCC